TACAGGGAGATTGAGGGTTATTAAAAAATAGGGTGGGCAGCAAGGAGTTACCTTGGGAACAAGGGCACCTGTTAAAGCCATTACACAATGCCCTTTCCCAACCCATCCGCATTCCCCTTACACCGGCTGCAGGACATCGCCGCACCAGGCTCCCAGAGCAGAGCGTGTCTTGTCTGTGAAGTGCTCTGTACATTTTACACTGGAAAACACAGCAGAAGTTACCCATGGTTTTGCCATCACAGTTAAACTTCTCCGTGACCAATGGGTATTTGCTAACCTGGACCGTGCTTCAATTTTGAATCACAGATATATCTCTTGGCCATGACATCTAATGTCACATCCTTATTCGGCCAGCCAGAAGTGACACTGGAAAATGAGCTCTGAGGCTACGCTCAGAAAACAGAGGGCTCGGACCCCAGCTTGGTTTTACCAGTGACCCTCAAATTCAGAAGTGACAGCGGAGATGGAGGACAGAAGCTGGACAAACATCCATGGTTTAGGGAAATGACATTCATTTCTCCTGCTTCAAAGCCAGCACGTGGGTGCCTGTTTTCCTCGTCCCGTCTGTTCTCACATCATCTCCCCTCAGCAAAACGTCATTTGAAATCTGCCAGGATGACAGCCTGCAAACCCCATCCCGCACCAGCTTATCTCCCCCCACATGCATCGCCGGGGTCCTGTCGCCTCTGCAACCTGTCTGCAGGGGGATGACGTGATGTCTCCCGGCATCTGTGCCAATTTGCAGCCGTGTGGCAAAAGGAGATACAGAGAATGGAGGAGGAGGAGGAAAAAGAAAAGATGGGAAATAGGCTTTTTCTTCTGCAGGTTCACTGCAGGTAGGGACATATCCCTGCAGCAAAGAGCGGGGTGTGTCTGGATGCCAGAATGAGATGAGATAAGCACAGAGCAGCAGCTCCTGTTGCTGTATTACCTTCAACAGGTTGGGAATACAGATTATTCGGTTCAAACCCCTGGTATGATGAAGCCATACCCAAAATTACAAGTCCTGCTTTGAGCAGAGTGCTGGGCCTCCTGCAGTCATATCCGACCGCAGATACTTCATGAGTTTGCACTTTGCTGAGTAAAAGACCTGAGTCTGACTGATGATGTGGGTCTATAAAGCAACGCGCCGGGAGGCAGGGTGGATTTTCAGCATGCTCTCCCCTGCTCCAACACGCCCTGGGCCCGCCGAGGCACCCCATGTTTTGGATCAGCACCGAGCTCCCTGACAGACTCATGCAGGTGGGCAAGCAGATGTGAGCATCAGACGGCGGCAAAAAGGCAGGCAGAAGCAGGCAGAAGTCTTGCACGTATTCCTTTTCGCACACATTGGCTCGTATTTTTGGAAGCAGCTGAAGAGGACTCGGTGCTGGGACACCGCAGGAGAGACGCTGCAGACCAGCCCTGCCAGGCAGCTGTGACCGTCTGTCAGGAGCCCTGCGCCTCGCCAGCAGCTCTGCTGCCCTATGGGGGTCACGCTCCCCTCCCCGTAACCCATTCTGGGGTACTTGGTTTGGGGTACTCTTGTCTCTTGTCCTTACCTCGCTGCGTCACCACAAGGAGCGATGAAGGTGACTTCCCACCCCTCGTTTCTCATGTTCACCAAGAGCCCATGAAAAGAAGCGCGAGCAGGCAGAAAATCTTGGTCCTTGACCTTATGCAAACAACATTTTAACATCCACAGTCTCCCAGGGTCAGGGAGATGCTCTCCCTCCAGAGAAGCGTTAACCAGCTGGGTGCAAACGTGCCACAGCGTGGGTACCACCACTCCCACAGCCCTGGGCTGGCTCTGTGAAGGGCAGGGGGACCCAGGACCCGCTAATCCGCGTGAAAGCCACACCGTGCCCTCCCTTGGCTGGAGCTACACAGTGTGAGCTTCCATCAAAGCGCTATACTTAGCATTTAAATAGAGATGAGTTAACTGAGCCTTGAATCACACCTCGGTCAATGAGAGTCTTCCCACACATCAGCGCTTTTACCACTCCAAACCCAGGCTCAGTTATTTTTCTATTTTATTTTCAGTTTCCCTCCTGCTTTTACCTTCCCTGCTGACTCCAACAGCCATTTCCTAAGCACTAAGAGATTTCCAAGCCCTACCATTGGTCTGCCTGGTTTCCACCCCCCATCACTTTTCTAATCATCGCTGCATTCCCCTGCGCTATAAATGGCAACGCCGAGCACCCCTCTTGGATTTCACTCGATTGAGCCCACGGCCAAGGAATTGAGCAATCAGCAGTGCAAAGTATAAAGGTTAGAGGGGTTTGGAGCTGGAGCAGACAATGGAGCAGAGGCTGAAATCATTGTCCGCAGCAAGTGACCACCAGAATTGCACAAGAGGACCCCGGGGCTGGCAGCAGGACCAGACAGGCAGGGGCTGCCAGGGGGGCACTGCAGCCAGCGACAGCCACCCCTCATCCCATGCCCTCTGCCGGGATTGTACAACCAGCTCCAGATTTGTACCTATTTGGCCACGAAACAAGAGCAAGGCTTGTTACAAAAAAGAAGTCGTAAGAGTCAATAAATTAAATGTGCCAACTTTTTATGGGATGGAAATAGGAAAATTGAGTTCAGGGGATTAGTTTTTGCTTAAATTAGGGAAGTAGAAAAAAGGAGGAAAAAATTAGGAAATGTTCATTTCATGGGGATTTCTCCTGCAAAGAGAGGAGTGGATGCACTCAAAAATCCCATCAGCCATTAGAGCTGCAGAACAGAAATGAGGGTCTTGGAGGAATTTTCCAGCAGTAATGATGCATCTCTCATTTCAGTAGAGGATCACATCTATGGAAGGAAGAAAGACCCCATTTCCAAAGCTAGAATTGGAGAATCCAACTTAACACATCAGTGTTAATTGTCCCACGTCCCATTAACCCTGGTACTTGTAAGGCAAGGTATAAGGAATGTGAAAACTGAATAGTTTAGGGACTAGAAGAGACTGCTGCAGTCTGGCTTTGCAGTGCTGCCTTCCTCCGCAGCACCACCACAAGACCTCACTCTCTAATTCTGCACTGATCGATCATTTTGGCTCGAGGGACATCACAGCCATCAGTCAGACACCTGGTCTCCACTCCAAAAACTCCAAGTGATGCAGATGATCACAACTGAAGGCCCTTCAGGAGACCTCTCATGGTCAGGCACAGGGAATAAGGAGCCCACTCCAGCTGCTATCAGGACAGCCAGTTTAATTAACCAAGGTTTTACAGCCTCTTCTTCAAGTAAAAGTCACTGTCAAAAGTCAGTGCTAAGCAAAGACTTCAGAAGTACATTTAGGTATAATATTCCTCAAGTATAAACAGAAATTGGGAAGAAAAAAAACAAAATTAAGTCAGAGCAGAAATAACTGCTTGCTTTTTCCCTGTCCATGGGCCACAGCACCGGTGAGAAGCAGCAGGGGTTTGCTGGGGAGGCAAGCAAACAGCAGCAAAACAGCTCCAAAAAATGTGAGTGGGAGCCTGACCGGAGGAAACACCAGACCACAGCGGTCGGCCTGGAAAAGGACCCCCCAGGGGCCAGGCGCTGCAGCTGGAGGACGCGATGCTCATACCCAGGGACCTGCCCCTTCCACACCGACCAACAGCTCGCAGCCACCACAGACCACAGAGCAGCAAGAACCTCTCCAGTGCGGTGAGAGTGCCACCAGCTCCACAACAAACCCCCGCACTGCCACGTCTTGGCCTTCCCCTTGAAGGGGAATTAAAACCAGAAGGTGTTGACTCACTGGAGCTGGATTCACTGGAGACAACACCGCTCGCTGGAGGTCTGCCATTTCCTTTCCTCCTGAGCATCTCTCTCAGACCCTTTCTGCCTGTCCTGCACTGAACACACTCCCTCTCAAGCTCCTGCTGCAGCAGTTACGGGGTTAACACTGCTGGCCCGACAGAGAAAAAGGCTTCAGGAGCGTGGGGACATCATCCCACAGCATTTTCAGTTCTGTGCTCAGGCAGACTTATCCTTAAACTCTTCCTCTGGTTTGGTGGCAGCTTTGGAGCCTGGGAACCCACAGCTGGCTGAAACGTTATCCCCGAGCAGCATCTCCTGCCCCCGCACACCCAGTAATTGAAAACAGCCGCTCGGTGCGGAAGCTTTTCCAAGACCTGAAATGTTCCCATTTTTGACAAGTTAAATACGAGTTTAGTTTATAACTAAAAAGCATAGAGATAGGAAAGCTTGGGGTATTTTGGATAGAAAAGCTTCCACTTTGCCCCCAGTGCTTCACACACGGGTTTCACTTCTCTACGCTTCTTGCCTCCCCATTCACACTCACCGTGGGGATGGCGGAGCTGCCAGGGCTCGAGAGGACACCATGGATGGTGCAATGACCCAACAGGGTTGGAAGTGGGATAAATACCTGAAACAGGTTAAATACATCCCTGCAAAAGGGCAGGAAGGCCAGGATGGGTAGAGGAGCTAGCATCCCTGGGTGGGGGTAGGAGCGCGGGGGTGACCATACCTCTCCGTGGGGCGTGCAGTAGGTCTCAGGCTTGGTGAGGCCACAGGTGGAGGAGGCGCGGAGGCGGTGGGCTCGTCCCAGCAGCAGGTCAGCGGCAGGGGGGTAGCAGGCGCCATGGGGACAGGCTCGCTGGGCACACAGTGGCCGTGGGGCAGCTGGGATGGGAGGAAAACAGGGATTAGGGATGTGTTGGGGTGGCACATGGGCATCAACCAGCAGGTTGATACCAAAGGTATTTTGCCCCTGAATTGCCTTCATTTTCCGTAAGAAAAGGTACGTTTTGAAGTGCTTTGTATTAGCCTTTATTTCTGAGACTCTGCTTTGCCGTGACCCCAGTGTTTGGGCTGCAGGGATGCTCAGTGCCCTGCCCATCCCACTGAACAGCCCTGCCCGGTGTTCCCCTATAGAGCCACCCCTATAGCCGCTTGCTCAGGACACAGCAGCCATTGCCAAACACCAACTGCATCAAATCCTGGCCTCCCCGCTGCTGCCACAACACCACTGCTAACACAAAGCTCACAGTACCAGTGTTTCTGTTTAGTCGCCTCCCCCATATCTTTTTTAGAAGTGCTGCACGGTGAGAGCCTTACCCAGGAGCACAAATAATGCCCACAGCCAAAGCTGGCAGCCAGACTCCATCCCGCGAGGACACACCTAGGGAAGGGTTTGCAGCGTGAGTAAAAACAAGCAGAAAATGCCAGAATAAAGCTCAGTCCTGGTCCTTCACATTCCTTCTTGGTTTACAGGGAGATCATTTTAATTGGGCTGCAACAGAATAACATGGGTGGAAAATCAAGAATAATGAAGAGAAAATCAGATGCTCAGATAGTATTCATTTGTTTTTAACATACAAAGAATCCCAGCTTTTCATCCAGCTCATGAAGCATGCACAGGATTCTCCTAAAGCCTCCAAGAGCTTGTTCTCTCCCCCAGACACCATCTCTGGGTGGTTGCTGAGGTGAACCACAGGTACCAGCACCGCTCCTCGCTGGGCAGAGCTGCGATTCCCGACTGCCCGGGGGATGCGGAGATGCCCCAGCCCCATGACCCGCGGTGGCCAGGTCGCAATGCAGAGCTAGAAACGATGCCTGGAGTGCGCACACACACACACACACACACACCCCCTGTGTACCCCCCAGCACTTTCTGCTCGCCAGCCCCACCCTTCGCCCTGCGTTTCCAGACCAAACTTGCCAGCACACACAATGGCCAAAAGCCTTACTCCATGAAAATAAGAACCCGTAAAAATCACTGCAGGATAAGCGTCTGCTGCAGGGTCTCTGCAGGGAGGCCCAGCACGAAATCTTGGGGGGGCAGAGCCAGAATACCCCCAGCACGCCAAAACCTCACCTGCCCTCTTCCCAACCGCAGCAGGAGCACCATCCCCAGTCCCTGCACTGTCCCAAGGTCTCTCTTCCCTCACACCAGCCGACCTCAGAGCCCTCCGAGCACAGCTCCCTCTGCTCCTCTCCCTTTTAAGAGGCAGCTGCCTCAGCTGGCGAGCGGGCGCCTGTGGGCGCAGCGGTGATAAAGGCAGTGATTCAGGGATCCCCAGACATCCACACCCAGTTCCTGGGGAATGCAGGACGGCTCCCAGACGGGGTGCACATCAGTCACTGCGGAGGATGACGGCTGTAGGGAACCCCCAACCTACCTGGGGCACGCGTGGCCGCCACCAGGACATCACCACGGGTCCCTCCAGACCGCTGCACAACGGCGTCGGGGCGATGCACCCAAATCTTCACCCGCCCTCTCAGGAAAGTTTTGCATACCGTGCCTAGCACCGCGATAACACAGCAGCACGGCTGCAGGCACCTGAACGTGTCATTTAAAGCCTAATTAGGGCTGTCCACGTGAGTTATAATCGCACTGTGCATTCACACACCAGACTTCAGCCCCAACACAACCTCGAGTGCAGTGACCGGGCTTTACAGGTAGAGGCGGTCACGCAGCCCCTCTCCTGTCTGCGGTGCTGGGATCCCTCAAGACACAAAATCACATGAAATGAGCTTGAAAGCAAGCTACAAAAGGTAATCCTGTGAATTCACTGGCTGTGAAAATAGTCAGAGAGTCATCAAACTTTTAAAGGAATGCAATTCTTGTTTGGGTGCCTAGAAAAGTGCCAAGATGCCCAAAAGAACTCTGTTTATCGCACCGGGAGTCTGTGAAGACCCAGACACTCGGCTGCATGTCCAGGTGAGGAGGAATCCTTCTCCCATAATTGAGACCTCATTCAGAGCTCTCTTGCACTTGACACGTTTCAGTGCTCACTGTTGCTTTACTGACTATTAATGGAAACTGTAGAATAAGTTGTTGGGGTTTTTTTACTGTGCCAGCAAAGTGACAAAATTTTAACAGATCTGTGTACTCTGCCGACTGTTGGGTGCCGGTAGCTCAGCACAGGCAGCGCCCACCTCCCACCCCACACAGCGCTCCGGGCACCCTCACATGCTGCGATTCAGCTGAAAAACAGCTTTTCACCCTCAGAGAAACTTGCATCGAGCCATTCACATTTACTTTACTGAAATGAAAACCAAAACCACTTGCCATACTGGTCAGGGGATGAGCAGACCACAGCAGACAACTCTGTACCTTTGCTCCTGTGCGTGCTACCTACCTGGTACTGACCGTGCAAGGTGAGGACCGGGAGCTGGGAGAAAGGGTACACAGAGCTGGAAAATAAAAAAATGTTGTCCCTAAGGCTACGTTCTGTGAAACATTGGCTCAGCTTCCGCCTGGCCGAGGTGCGCCCGCAGCGCTGGGTGCGCCTGCCCGGCCCCGTCAGTGCTCAGCAATGCGGCAGCACCACATTCCTCATCCTGCAGAGGAGAAGGAGGAAAGACTGGAGCGTTTTATGGAGAAAGCGAGGGATGGGACGTGCCGGGAGCTGCCGACACCGTTTCTGCAGGCAGGCCAGGAACAGAGCCTGTGCCCTCAAACCCATCACATCAGGGTTTATTGGGGTGTATCAGGAGGGGGGTGGTTGTAGGGCAGAGAAGTTCTCCTCCCCCTCTACTCTGCCCTGGTGAGACCGCATCTGGAATATTGCGTCCAGTTCTGGGCCCTCAGTTCAAGAAGGACAGGAACTGCTGGAGAGAGTCCAGCGTAGGGCTACAAAGATGATGGAGGGAGTGGAGCATCTCCCTTATGAGGAGCGGCTGAGGGAGCTGGGGCTCTTTAGTTTGCAGAAGAGGAGACTGAGGGGAGACCTCATTCATGTTTATAAATATTTCAAGGGTGAGTGTCACGAGGATGGAGCCAGGCTCTTCTCGGTGACAAACAATGATAGGACAAGGGGTAATGGGCACAAACTGGAACACAGGAGGTTCCACTTCAATTTGAGAAGAAACTTCTTCTCAGTGAGGGTGACAGAGCACTGGCCCAGGCTGCCCAGAGAGGTTGTGGAGTCTCCTTCTCTGCAGACATTCAAAACCCGCCTGGACGCCTTCCTGTGTAACCTCATCTGGGTGTTCCTGCTCCGGCAGGGGGATTGGACTGGATGAGCTTTTGAGGTCCCTTCCAATCCCTAACGTTCTGGGCTTCTGTGATTCTGTGATCATGGTGCAAACAGCCCAGCCCTGCCAGAAACCCCCTGACCTCTCATGGCCTCCTCTGTGGAAGCGAAGTAGAGGAAGGTCTGACCCAGCCGGGTTTCTGCACTGCTCTTGGAAAGACTAAATGCAAGCCATTAATAAGCTCTGACATAGTGATGCTCCACCCCAAATCACTGTAAAGTACAGGACACTGCAATTCTGCCACACAAAGAAGGGTAGGACTGAAAAATGTTACCTCAAACACAAGCTGTTTGAGTTATCCAAAATACCTCGATCCATCCTTTCCTCCTCCAGCCTGCCCCAGCAACTTGCCAGAGCAAGGTAAATCATTAGGTTTATTTCAGGCTGTGCAAGTTCAAACAAGAACCAAGGCAAGGAATAGCCTCATTTACAGAATATCTACTGCAAATCAATATAAGCACAAAAAAAACCAAGCAGTTGTTATCAGCTGAGTGCTCTGGGACAAATACAGAGGCAATCATAAAAAATCCATATGGTGAAAATACACAAAGGTAAAAAAGCACTACAAGAATGGAGATACTGGAGCGATCCTCTGTGATCAGTGGGATGGACAAGGAGGATGCTCGCACGACTCCAGGTTAGGCTACAGCTGCACCACCCTGTGCCGAGCTGTGTCACAGCCCACGAGCTCGGAGGGCCGGGCACGGCATTCCCTGAAAACAAACACAACTCAGGGCTGCAGGAAACTGCGCTCTGAGTCACCGCACATGCCCTGCCCTGACACCATGCAGGGACACCGCTCTGCTGGGAGCATCCTCTCAGGACCAGCTCCCAGGGAGCTCCCGCTGCACCGCACCATGGCAAAGCTGGCACCCGGTGACACTGGTGTGCACAGGAGGATTCGAGCTCTGCGGAGCACGTGTCTGACCCACGAAGCAGCTTTGCTGTCCTGTCCCAGAGGCAGAAAAGCCCCCACCATTCCATCCTGTACCTGTGGCAATGGGCTGCCATCCGAGGATGCAGCACTGCCCAGCCTGCGATGATCATGTTTGATTCGTTTTTAACTTCTCCATCTGGAGTTCGGAGAAACACAAAGGTAACGAGAGGGGTGTTGGTTGACAGTCGGCTTAACATGAGCCAGCACTGTGCCCACATGGCCAGAAAAGCCAACGGCATCTTGGCCTGTATTAAAAACAGTGTGACCAGCAGGGCCAGGGAGGTGATCATCCCACTCTACTCGGCACTGGTGAGGCCGCACCTCGAGTGCTGTGTTCAGTTCTGGGCCCCTCACTAGAAGAAGGATGTTGAGATTCTGGAGCGTGTTCAGAGAAGAGCCACAAGGATGGGGAGGGCTCTGGAGAACAAGCCTGATGAGGAGCGGCTGAGGGAGCTGGGGTTGTTTAGCCTGGAGAAGAGAAGGCTGAGGGGAGACCTCATCACCACCTACAACTGCCTCAAGGGAGGTTGTAGAGAGGTGGGTGCTGGTCTCTTCTCCCAGGTGATGGGGGATAGAACAAGGGGAAACGGCACCAAGCTGTGCCAAGGGAGGTTCAGGTTAGAGCTAAGGAGGAAGTTCTTTACTGAGAGGGTCGTCAGAAGCTGGAACAGGCTGCCCAGGGAGGTGGTGGAGTCACCATCCCTGGATGTGTTTAAAGAGCGGGTAGATGAGGTACTTAGGGATATGGTTTAGTGGGTAGACAGGAACGGTTGGACACGATGATCTCGGAGGTCTTTTCCAACTGAGTGATTCTGTGAAATCAGGGGCAGAGCACTGCGTGCAAGAACACTTAATCTCTTGAAATGGAAAACCTCCATTAAGGGAAAAGGACACTAATTGAGTATCATTTTATAGCTCGAGCATATCAAAATTAAACAATACTTAATGGATTTTTTAATCGCAGAATTAATAAATGCCTGAAAGCACATTTGCTATAGGGGCAAATGGAAAAACAAGGCGGAGTGTGATTTGCTACGTGACACTGAGCAAGATCATGGCACAGGGGAAGGAGACACCGGAGTCCCTGCCATCCCAGCGCTGGGATGCAGCCCCCAGCGCCCTCCATCCTTAGATCAGACACAGCCTGACGAACCTTCCTGGAAAACCTGGGGCTGCATGGGGACAGGG